CGCCAGGGGTACCTCGAGCGCCCAGCTTTGCGCGGGAAAGAGCTTCCAAGAAAATGGAAACTGGTACTGCCAGCCAGTGCATCACATTACGTATCAGAACGTCGGGGCAGTAGGGGAGTATCAGGATGTTGTCAGAATGGACCAGCAGAGCGGAGCTTGCGAGTTCCAAAAAAGGAAGTTCTCTGGACCTCTAGCACCTTTTGACGAGCCGGTGAGCTCTATATTCTCGATGCTCGAAGGCGACGCACCGCTGACATCGAGCAGATGTACATCCACTTCAGGGGCCCGTTGAGGTTGAAGCAGGTAGCGGTGTATCTTCCTGGTAGCGATCAGCGCAAACGGGATGAGGGTGCCTCGACGAGCGAATCTGCGGAGAAGCTGTTGGATGAGGAAGAGGGCAACGGCCACGAACATACCAATAGCCATCGACATCGACATCGACATCTACACCGACAGTTCCGCCACCGTCATCATCCCCAGGCCGAAGCCCCAAAGGTCGCCAAGCGAGCCTGCGACCCCGTTCAATGGGTGACCGCAACCATGGATGGCCAAGTGGTCTCCTGGATCAACGACTACTGCCCCGGGCAAACTGCGGCTCCAGCTCCGCCTCCAGCTCCCACCTCCGTAAACCGGACCCCCGAGCTCGTCCCAACCACCACAACCACCCCAACCACCGTCCGAAACTCCCTCCCTCCCTTCCCCTCCGCAACAAACATCAACGCCCGCCCCCCCTCGCCATCCTTCACTCGCATAGCCCACTACCACGCCGCCCGCCAGAGCTCCTCTGGCCTAACCTTCCTCGCCAACCGTGGAGACCCATATATCTCCGGCAACTTCACCCGCGCCTTCGGCAACACCCTCTCCTACGTCGACCGCACGGGTACCAGCTGCTCCCCTTCATCCCAAACCCTCCTCGACACCCTCCTCCCCTCCTCCGCCGAAGTAATCCTCGCCACTGATCAACCCTGCAACGCCGCTTGCGGATACATCCAACCCGGCTCCATCGCACGCAAGGGCTTCGCCTCCGTGTCCGGCACTAGAGTGGTAATGATGGACTTTAGCATGCCGCATGCCTACGGGGAAGATATGCCTGCGATTTGGATGCTCAACGCGAGGATTCCACTGACGGGGCAGTACCATGGCTGCTCGTGCTGGGCTAGTGGGTGTGGGGAGTTTGACGTGTTTGAGACGTTGTCGCAGGGGGAGACGAAGGCGAAGAGCACGTTTCATAGTGTGTTTAGGGGTGGGGATTCGAATTACTTTGACAGGCCAACGGAGGGGACGGTGAGGGTGGCGGTTTGGTTTGATGGGGAGGGGGAGAAGGTGCAGGTTAGTGTGTTGGGGAAAGTCGGGGATGGGGACGGACATGAGATGCGGGAGGCTTTGGGTGGCGAGGAGTTGAGGAGGTTGATGGAGGCGGAGGAGGCTGAGCTGGGGGAGAAGTTGGGGAGTGTTTTTAGGGTTGGGACGTAGGATGGAAATGCAGACAATAAGGAAATGGGAAGGAATGGTCGGGGGGAAATAACACGGAAGGGAACGTTGCATATCTTTTTTTTTTTTTTTTTTTTTTGGATCAGTGAAAGTTTTCAGATTCTGGTTGGGATTGGATTATATTGCACCGTATGGATGTTTTCTTCGGCATGGAAGTTCATGTAGATGAAGGGGGCAAAATTTTAGACATGTTCCCACCTGCTGTTGCTCTTTCCTTTCTTGAACGCCAGGATACCTTACCTAACCTCAGGTCTCCAAATTTCAACCTACCTGCCTTGCGTTCTCGGTCATCTGGGGAACAAAACCAGTCAGCCAGATTCTCCAAAATACCAATGAGATCCGTCAGCCGGATGCTGCGCATCCTGAGGACGAAGCCTTTCCACCCCGTTCCGGATGAAATCGACATTCCCCCTTTGCGTTTCTTCAACAACAGGCGGCGGAGGCGCATTAGCAGCTGCAGCTGTAGCGCCGCCCGCTTCGGGAGACTGCGAGCCGGATGCAACTTGGTCATCACACTTCTCGCGCGAAGCCTCTTCGTCTGGGACCCTCCAAGTTCGAGATGTTTTGGGTCCAGTGGAAAGTTCTAGTGTTTTGCTGGGCCTGTTCCTCGGCTTCGTCCAACCAATCCAACGCTTTGTTGACTTCCTCGGTCGCTGGGCCGGAGGGTTGCGTTCTCGTTTGGCAGGGCTCCTCTGTTTTTGGTCCAGCGCTCTCCTCCTTTGCGGTCTCATCGGTCTAGGGGTTCTCGTCATTCTTTGGAGCCTCGTCAGCCTTTGGGGCAGCCGCCTCCGGGGTCTTGCGGGCCCACAGATTATCGGGGTCTGGCATGATGTCGGCAGTTTCTTTGGGGAACTGGATCTGCATTGGATACCAGTGAGCCATCGGATTCGTTCGGAGACGCTTCTCATACCACTCGGCGGTACTCACCAAGTCGAGATCCCCGAGGAAGGAGATCACGTCGTATTGATTTCCTGTTCCGCTTAGAGCTGCCTCCTCGGCCCTTGCAAGGCGGTTGATAACGCGGTTGTAGGTACTGAGGTCGACCGTCTTTGCGAAGTGGACGAGTTGACAGCATACCCGTGCCCAGTTTACGGCAACCTCGGGATTCACACTGCCAACAGCCTCCCGAAATTCAATGGTGCCTTTCGCAAACGACGTTGAGCCCGAACAGTTACCTTCCTGCACGTACTCCTTGAAGTTGTAATTGAGACGCTCGATCATGTTCCCAAGCATATAAGCGATCTGTGACTTTTGTGTGGCCGAAAGGAGCATGTCCGCGCCAGGAAAGACCCGGTCTTGGGCGACCCCGCCCCTGCTACGAAAGTTACCACACTCGGGAACATCGCCGGTCAGCCTGTACCGCGCGCGATAGCATCTGCCGAGGGCTTCCTTGGTCGAATAGCTGGAAAGCGCTCGGAGGACATCCGGTTGATCGGCCTGGAAGGCGGCTTGTCGAGATCTCTCTCGGGGCCGGGCGGGGTGTCAAACTTCTTGGTTAACTTGTGGGCTTCATCCTTTGCCAGGCCGCTATGCTGGCGAATCGACAGCGCGTATGGGTTGACTTGTCGCTCGGGGGGATGAAGCGTTGCCAGGAAGGGGTCGGCGGACCAGAGGAGCGCCGAGATCCTGCGCAGGTCGCGCAGTGAGAAGGTACGGGAATTGAAAGCAGCTCGCTGGGTATCGTTGAGTACCACGACTCTACCCGTCTTATCAAGCACGAGTTGCGTGCCATTTCCAACATGGCAGTGCATTCCGGTAGTTGGGTTGACCCTGGTCCGAAACGACTTGTTAATGGCCGACAGCACCTCGCGGATGTGATCAAACGAATCTTGACAGTGCTTCAGCACCGGCGTCTTGATCTCAAAGCCATACCAACCGTAGTGCGGGAACATTACAGGGTGCTGGTACCCAGAACTCCCATTGTCGCAAACCGTGCAATCATTGGATACTTCCCAACCCGTGTGCGGGAAAAGAAACATTTGGGGGAAAGGCTTTGGGGCCATGTTCCCTGTCGGAACCTCGTCTTTGAGCCAGAAGCCCTTCTCGCGGAAGAATTCCTTCATGAAGTGCATCGGGTAGTCTCCCCTTACCTCCGGAGCATCTTTGGCACCTACTCTCTGGGTGAATCCGGGAACCTGGGTTGCTTCCCATTCGGGCGTGAAGACGGGTATGGTCGGCTTCAAGTTCTCGTTTCGCAGCAGCTCTTCCACCTTCCAGTTCAAGACGAACTCGAACTCGAGGGAAAACGAGAGGCAGTTGCCCGTGTCCTTGGCGTCTTCCAGTGTGCCGAAATCCCCATCCAAAGGCGTGCAGTGCCTTTCAAGAAGTTCACTTCTTCTGCAACTCCACGGCTCCTCGCTCGACATATTTGCAATGCCGCTATTATGGTGCAAGTGGTTACAGTAGTGTTGCTGTGTGAAAGTGACAGTTCGAAGCAATGTCTCAAATCGTAACAAGCACGAAAACTGGGCAAAATGGAATTTTCTGTTCAGTCTCCGAGAACCACAGAAGTTAGGTACTTGCATGGTATATATCTGCCGAAACCACAGAACGACTAGGTAGCGTAGCAATAACAATAGGTCTAGAGAGTTGATATAGGGGGCGTCTTGATGCCACAATGATATAATCGCTCGAAATAGCCGAGCCGCATATAAAGAACGCAGCTCAATCACATTATTTATCCTTTGTCTTGGATACAGAGAGCGGACAATTTGAACGGTGTAACTTCCATTATCGCATTGCCTTTGTGCAAACTTCAATTATCCCAGTCCGCGTGGTAACAAAGACGCCTACCTACGTAGTGTTCCTTTGCTGGAAGGGGATCAGGGTAATGTCGCAACGAGGCCAGCTGATGTTGACATCTCAATTCTGGCACTGAGTGCAACAGGTTGTTTATCTATTTCAGCTAGGGCATGTTGCAATATGGTAAATATTCTATTTAGTTAATGCGCAAGCAATCACTGATATGGTGTCGCAGAGCTCCGCTGTCAGTCGGTTCTCAGGGGTAAGTAACCATCGCGCCTCAGGCGTATCAATGGCTGGCTCAAGGTGATTTGATACAGTTTCCATTCGGGCAAAACCACTGGATGCGCCAAGTGCCATGTATCTCCAGAATACAGTAGTCAAGGGCGAATCACCATTGTGGGTTTGCAAACAGTTAATACTCGGCACAGATTTCTTCCCTCGATCTTCACGTCTACTGCAAAGAGTGATGCGGCACTTTTGTTCGGTAGTTGTTTTTTCCATTTATTCCTTCCTCCGCCCCAGAATGTGCTATACGGCTTACTCCAATGACCTTGAAACATGGCCCTTCTCCATGGTCTATTAGTCATTGCCTGGGTTCACCCCGGCACGCAAGTCAACAGGGTTGTCGTGCCCGATTCCAACCACCAACCAACCCATTCCAGGTCCTGCTTGTCCTCCCATTCTGGCCAAAACAAAAGAAAGCTTCCCCACGATGTCTCCCCAATCCTGCAAAAAACTGAGGCCAGGCATCCTGCCGGGAATTGAGCCCGATGTGGGGGTCGAACCACAACCTTGATATATATATAGATAGATAGATAGATAGATGATCTCTTCATCTCTACCAATTGTTCCATACTAGTGACACGCTCTACCACTGAGCCAAGCGGGCGGGACTTCCCCTGTCTCTTGTGAGAGACAGGAGGGTTGGAGTTGCCCACTGCCAGAATTGAACTGACGACCTTGTCACTTGATGGGATTGGCGAGGAGTAAGAGTCTCACGCTCTACTGGTTGAGCTAGCCGGGCGTGCCCTAGCTGTTGCTGAGATGGGGCGTTGGCATTGTGAATGTTGTGGGCGGAGGTGGAGAGGTAGGGTTGGTCGGCTGTGGAGTTGAGGTCGAGTTGGGATCAGGCATCTCAACTCGAAGACAAGTGGGGTATATGGGTGTTGCCGCGAGGCGAGTCATGTATCGGTGTAAGATGACCTTTCATGAAAGGTCGAGGAAGGATATCTCGGTTACGTCGCCTACGGGCGACAGAATGGTCTGCTCGCCATCGGATCCGTCGGCTGGGCCTAGAAAGATACCGAACCCTTTTTGTTTCCTTCGAGTTGGCGAGAGAACGGTCAGGGGCAGGTTGACGGCGTGCTCCTCCGACAGGTGCGGACACATCGCCTCTCCGACTGACGCGCGGTGACTGTGGAATGAACAGAGGCGGAAGCCGAAGAAGCGCTCGCCACTCCGCAGCTTGTTCATTGGCAGGCGCAGCTGGGGGTTCTTGATGCGCACATCGGCCTTGCTCTGTATCATCTTGTCGAGGTGAACCGAATAATCCTCCCGCAAGGCTGGGTACGTGATGAAAAGGCGCTCGTAAAGGGCTGCATCGCTGTTGGCGGCGTGGAGGGACCACGCAAGCATGGCAACTGCCCACTTTCTCAACCTAAAGGCGTGATTGGCATCGCATTCTTGATAAAGGTAGGCCAGAAAGCGCGGTGATACGTCCAAGTCGCAGCGGAGGTAGAGATCCTGGAGCGCATCCATCGCAACGTCTTGAAGGGCCGGTAGGTCGATGACAGCAGCGAAAATGTGGAGTTTTGTGAGATTCCAACGAAGCGCTTGAATCTTGGGCGATAGGGCAAAGGTCGAGGCATCCCGAACCACCCGCGGCACAGCTTGGTCGACCAGGGCGAGAAACGCCCGCTTTCGATACAGCCATAGAACAAACAGCTCAAACATCTCGGGGCTTTCCGTGGGCAGCCACATCATCGTATCCTCCTCCTGCTTTCCATCGTCCGGGTACAGCGGCGATGACACGGGCGTATCGAGGTGTTCGCGGAAAAAGGAGCTCGTTTCACACAGAAGCTTTCGGTTGAGGGTGAACTCTTTTTGCTGTGGACCAACCAGGACCTTGACCTCCTCAGAATCCAAGATGTTGAGCAGCACACTGATAGTTGTTAGCGGAGTGGTGTTTGGTACGTCGAGGGTGAGACTCACGACCCGTCTGATTCCTCCGCGACACCCCCCTTCATCTCCGAGTCAATCGACAGGAATGGCATTGCGAAAAAAAAAACGAATGAAATAGGGCAAACCGGTTGCAAGAAGAAGAGAAGCGAATGAGATCAACTCCAAGAACTACCGGCGTCCCGTTGCAATCGCAATGAAGCGAGAACCAAAACCAAAGAGACGGGTTCGGTCCCATCTAATGTAGGTGACCCCCAACGTCGTAAAAGAAGAAAAGCCTCTCCCCATGACTCCGTTTCGCGGGCCATCGTGTTTGAGCCATCCGTCTGAGCTCGGATGACAGGCACTAAAGCGTAGAAGCTCCCTTGCTTGCGCTTGCTTGGTGTTTCGTCGTGTGTGAATGCGGGCCGCCCCTTGCATTGAATCCCCACTTTTTTAACCTCTGCCCCTGATCGCCGAAACACCCAAAGATCCACAACGCTGGCTGCCGAGTTTCCAACCCCCGCCGTCCCGGGATCTAAGGTCGCGTTGCGGCGCGGTCGCGAGAGGTCCGCGGGATGGTGCATTGTTGTGACGTCCTGGTGCTCCTCGTATTTGGTCCTGGTCTGCGGGTTGGCGAGAACCTGGTGCGCATCATCGAGGAGCAACCAAACCATGTTTCCTGGAAACCATGGTTGAACTTTTGACAGACAATACCAAGCTTCAAGATTCGAAATGTCGCCACGGCTTTCAAGCTTTGAAGGGTGATGGAAGTGGCTGGCGGCCAGGCCCCGGTTGGTCACGCTCGTGGTTTCCCCGTCAAAACTGACAAGAAGTCAATCGCAACCCCGCCAGCGCGATCGCGTTGCACCAGTAGCCCGCCACGTTGGGAACATCGACGACACCTCTGTTTCGCCCCAGGGAAAGAATGTGGAGAAGCACTGTCCTGGAATTACTGCGTAGGCTTCTCGCCAAAGAAATGCTACCATGAGAGAGAAGCTATGGAATCGTGCTGATAGGACCAAGCTGAGTCGAGAGCGATGAGGAAGCCGCGATGGTGGACCTTCGTGCGGTGCAAACACGTTCGGATGGCCCATCGGCATAATACAGTAACTGGCGGCGGAAACATTTCGCTGTAATTGGCGCCCTTTGCCAAATACTCATCTGAACAATGGACAATTGATTTTCATGCGTTTCGGAGATCAAACGCTTGGACCCGCACCTCCCAGTCGACCTCCCATCAGTAATTCCTCGACTTCCATAGGCTGAACCGCAAGACTCCCGAGAGCTTCATTTCGATGCTTTTCGTGTACGGCTTTCAGGTCCGGTAAACGGTGGCGATGGAGGCAAGATGGATGGTTGACGAAGACGAAAAAAAGACAGCAAGCTGGTCTTCCGATGGACGTGATGGATATCCATTTTTCCTTCTCGCTTCCTTGAGGACCAGCCACTAAAATGAAGCCCATAGCAAAAGCCACAGCTTTCCCGTTGCTAATTACCCAAGCCCTCGCCGACAACCCCGTCCCCAGCTCTTCCTTTCACGAGAAATGCAACCAGTGCCTCGATACCGCACTTGCCGCATGCCCAGCCGACTACACAACACAAGCCTCCACTGATTGTGTCCGCGGTCCCGTCGGGTTGCAGGGCATCGTTCTCTGTCTCGAACCCGATTGCATCGTTGACATCCAGAGAGTCTATCGAAATTGGTTCGCCTACTGCCTCCCCCGCGACAGGAGGTTCTGCGCCGAACCCGAAACGGTGAAGTAGGTGTCCAAGGAGGTCTTCGAAGAACACTGTCCATCTGGCGTTTACACGCCTAACCCTTCGTTTTTTGGGACTGTGTCTGCTTATGTTTGGTCTTGGCATTCTTGGGGTTTCTTAGCTGATAGTGAGTGTAGGGTGACAATTAGTTCCAAGTCGGCTTCTGCGAGCGCGACGCAGCCGGCGGTGACAACACTAGGAGCGATCGCCGGGACCAGCACTAGTGCTACGAGTACATCCACTGCTGCCGCGGTGTCTGCGCATCCTGCAGCGATCTTGGCCGTGATGGGTCTGGGTTTCTTCGGCATCAACCTGCAACATGTTGACTCCCCATTGATCGGTCTAAGCCGACAGCAGCTTGGATGATGGGCGGTGGATGGTTATTCGATGGCAATGGGCCATTGATAAACTTGAACAACCGGGAACACCTAGGTGAATCGCAAGTAAAATATCACACCGCTGCTAAAATGTCACGAAGAATCCCTAGTATGTGGTTGTTAAATGAGGTGTTAGGTAGCAGTACATTAGGAGACTGGACTTATACAATCGACCACAACTCTCTCTAGAGATCTCCATCGCCCTTCGGCTGCTTCACCTCGCGTGCAAGCTCGCTCTCCACCATAGATCGTACGAGCTGTATCACCAACTCACGACCCAGCGTGAAGTTCTTCTCCGAGTTTTCGGAAGGCACGTGGAAGAACACCACCTTCCGTGGTTGGCCTGCCCGATATAACTGCGACAAACTCGAGAAGTAGATGAAGTCGCACAAGTACCGTCCCGCATCCTCTGAGATCCTAAGATCACTTCCCGGCTGCAACACCATTTCATCAGCTCAAAATTGGCATAAAACCCTCAGGGGACATACCGGGCTATACCTCCGCCACCTCTCCAACACATCCTCCATCTCAAATTCCGTGAGCAGTTCCGACGGCATCCCATCCCAAACCCAGTCCTTGCCCTGCTTCACCCGCCGCTCATCATCGCCCAACAATTCCCCGTCCACATCCCTCATATTATAACCGTCTCGGTGCCCCCGCCTCTCAATCGAGTAGAACAACCTCGGCCCCGCCATGCCAAGATGAATCGCCATATCAATCTTCTTCGGCTTCGGCTTCGTAGCATCCTCGTCGCCGTCATTCTCCCCATCCAAATGCCATAACTTTGGCACGAGTCCCCGAACTGTCTGGTAGTTTACCCGGATCGGCTCGGGGTGGACTAGGAGTCGGACTGGGGGGAGGAGCGGGGTTCCCTCGGACGGCGCGGCGGTCTTGGCGCGGATCGGGGGGAGGTATTCCGGCAAAGAGCGGGCGATTTCCCAGGAGGGATTCACCGGGTGTTCCTTTTTGAACGGCTGCGAGTGGCATTGATTAGTTGCAAAGTTGAGTTACGAACGGCGGGTCAACGGGGCTGCCCGTGCGTATTCGGCGCCCGATGGTTCGAACGGGCGCCGCCAGGCAGGGGTGGCGCGCGGGGATGTGGGGACAACGTACGGCGAAGCCGGTGATCAGCACCGTCAGCTCCTCCTGCGAGCTATCAGCCCAGGTTGACCCCATGATTTCGCTGCCAGGGAGGAATGGTGATATCGAGCGGATGAACTATTGCTGGAGAGGAAGGATTGTAGTTGCACTTTGGAGAGTGCTTTGTTTTGCTCGTCCAATGGCATCACGGTTAACACATCGTTGCAGGGTAGCTAAGCTGCGGGTGGAATGCGGGGGAATGTGTCCCAAGCTCCTTCCCGAGGGGTGCACGCGGGGCAGTCAGCCGCCTCTGGTTGGACCTGACCGAACTGGTGTTTGCTCCAATCACACTTTGTTGAATACCAACGCAACTCAGACGGAAACTTTCCATCACAACGCAAACTTGGGATTTTGAAAGGCTCCCATCTCATCTGGCTTGGCAGGCCGCCAGTTTGTGTTCCGCAGTGGGCTTGACGACAACCTGTACACGCCTCCTCGAGCAGCCTAGTTGCCA